TGGGCAACTTTTAGAAGATGATCAAGAGTCACGGAACAAAGACTATAAACAGTTCAGGCTTCATCATGCAAGACAATGTTCGAGGGTAGCCACTAACAAAGATGTTCTACATGCACTTTTATATACCTCTGACCCATACATAACAAGTTTAAGAAAACCTTCCAATAAAAAATATTTAGAACTTTTTGATGAAGTAAAGGAGCTCTTGAGTGACTTCTAAGTTATCTTTATAAGAGTTTTTGTTTTTTACGCAGATACTTTTACTTATTCCTGTATAAATTTCTTAGGACATAAATGTAAGCCTACAAATTTTATATTTCTTGTATTCCTATATTATTTATAACTATTAGAAATAAATTTTTACTCACAACGCATACATAATTTAAAAGCATATATATTTAAGATTATCAGGAAAAAAAATCATGTACATATCTTTATTAATACGGAAGTTATAGATTTATGAGATGAAAAGGAGTCAAAGTTCCCACTGTGCGTCGTTTGAACACTGTTTCTATAATACAGGTTCGTATTTTGATCTCGTACAAGACTTATTGTTTGCATTGTCGTTGTACCGCACTTACAGCGACGTGAGATGATTTTCATAATCTCCATTGAAATGGCAAATTTCTTTCCTAACTCTTCTTGATCTCTAATAACAATTACCAATAACAATTCGTGTAATTTTGTTATTAGAGGAGGGTACCTACCATAATGACTTATCCACGTGGGGGAAGGAATTGTTAGTAATAGGGATCTGAGCGTCTCATTGCTAGCAATATACCTTATCAGGTCGACGTCCACGCTGTATCCCTTGGATACCATCTGGGGTAATTCATTTGTGCAATTGTCACTATGAGACAACTGGCTTGCTTTCATCTTTTACTGGTGCCCCGCCAGCGTATACCGACAGCGTAGGTGGATTACAATTTCATTTCCACCTATTTGTACAAAACTGTTTCATGTAGTAATAGGTGACCAGAGAAATCACAATGTACCAATCCTAACATGTGAGGACTCGAGTCATTATTCGTACCAAGCCGCTTGCATCATTACAGTAATGTTAGACTCTTACGACATTTGTCGTCACATTGATAGAACTACATATTTCACCAATAGTTCCCTAACAAGTAATTACAGGGGAGAGGGGTCTAACTGACCCATTGCCATCAATCATTAGGTCGATCTCCACGTAGTTCCCCCTTGAAACCGTCGTAGTTAATTCTAGTGGAATTCGTCACAATGGGCTAATTGACCTGTTTTCATCGTCACCTATCATCCCTCATTGGTGGCCCGCCCATGTATACCGACAGCGCAGGCGGGGTTACCATGCTATCATCGTCCATTAAAAAAATTACATCACCGCTAACAAGCGGCATACCGTTCTGAATACCAGCAACGCCTGACACAAGTGGCGAGCGTTGTAGCTAACGAGACACACCCGACATTTGGTTGCGTGCGTCCAGGTGCGCCCGTAACCAGAACAACGCAACCACCAGCGAGGCGGGGGCGCGCGCGGCCTGCATTCTCGCAAGCTGAGCGATTCGCGCCGCCTAAATATAGAATGCGAACCGCCTCGGAAAGGTTAAACCAGAATTAGACGCGCCAAACTTAACTTGCACTTATTTTTGCGACTAGCCGCCGGGCCGAGCGTTCACCCCCAGCAAGTGTGACGGCGACTCCTTATCTCTGCTTTTACCGCGGCGAGAGATTGCGTCAACCTTAAAAAACATTACACTCGACTGTGTTGTACAGTTGTGAGTTTAAATGATCTTATTTTCGGCTGATCTCATTATTGGACTCCTGGAGTAAGTAGGTCTGCAGATAACTAAATGCTTGTTTCGTGAACTCTATAATATGGACTTGTGAATCTAAAATTTTTAAACTTACGACAGTCGTAATCACGTGGCCACACTACATTACTACGTCACTGTCGATTTCTATCACAAGATCATAGTCCATTTTTTGTTATTGTTATTCCATATTTGTTTCTAAATAAAGTAATCATCGTCATACCAGCCTTTAACTGTCCACTGCTGAACATAAGCCTCCCACTTGGGAGGGTATTGCCAGTAGTTGCCACGTTTAGCAGGCGGATTGGTTGGCGCAGTTAGGTTTTGATGTTTTAAGAGGGAAGCTTGCTGTCCATCCCTCGTCCCCCCATAGTAGACTCTTACGACGCCCACGGGAAACGAATGGGGTGACCTATTCTATGCCGGAGTAAAACGACAAGAAAAAAGTAATGCTGTATTATTTATTATTGTGCACATATTTTACTTTCTTGTTGATTTTACTTGATTGTCTTGTCTGTCATTCGTTGGTGTAAAAAAATGTATAAAACCAATATTGGCATGTTACTTATATACATTTTATTGCACATTCTATAAAAAAAAAATAGTCGTTTATGTACTTTTTATTTGTTTATATGCTGTTACTCATTCACGCTTAAACGACTGCATAGGTTTGAATAAAATTGTTTGCTTCGTCATTAAATTAACATATTACGTAGGATAGTTATTATCCTAATTCATGCGGGCAAAACGAATACAGCTAGCAGAATAATAGAGCACCGTCTAAAATGCATTTAGATAGAAACCCATGTAAGAATTATTCATCGTACTAAACGATTGCTAATGTAAAAACCAATGATAAACAACACATCCAGATGTTTCGTCTCTCTTCATACGCACTTGATGAAATAGTGAATTAACAACGCAGGATTCTTCTAACTCGTAATAAGGAAAGTATAAAGATATACTGCCGCCTTGTGTCATTAAATGACCCATAAAATTACATGGCTATACGCCATTAATGCTTTACGTTTGTTTTGTTTCCGAACAGCGGACGGTTTGTTGTTTCCGCGAATTCGGCCGAATATCAATACAGTTCTTGTTGATTCTAGGAAATCGATACACACGCTCCAAATAGATTTACCCCACTATCATAAGAAATTGAGAATTTAATGCCCAAATTGTCCATTGCACTCAGAATTGGGTATTTACTCTCAAATCGACCTCTTAAAAACAACACAATAGAAGTAATGGAAATGTAAATAAAGTACTATTTAGAAATGCCTTTGTGTTCAAGTAAAATTAATGTCCTACAGCTTTAATGGTCGCGTACTGCGCGGTTTCAGAGATCTTTCCTCCCACGAACACTCAGGTTGTGGAATGAGCTCCCTGCCGAGGTTTTCCCCAGAGACTACAGCATGGGGTTCTTCAAAAGGGGGGTAAAGAGATTTCTTCAGGGTCGGCAACGCGCGCGTAATACCCTCGGTATTGCAGGTGTTCATAGGTTACGGTAACCACTTATCATCAGGTGGGCTGTATGTTTATTTGCCACCTCAGTGGTATAAAAAAAATTAATAAAGATTCTATTCTATTCTCATAATGCATTTTTAACACACTCTTTAATCTGTATTAATTAAGTGGCAATGTGAGAAAAGCTAAATTTAATATCTCTAAAAGAAATAGTGGCATAGAAAGTAGTCGGTGAGCAAGTGAATATCTTACATGTTTTTTTATATCAGTTCACATGATCGTTATAATTTGCTAATTAAATTATTACCCAGTGAAAGCAGCAGGTGTAACAAGGTGACGCGGGACTGTCATCGCGACAGTAAACATGTCGACACTCCGTACACGCGTGCCCGTAGATACTGCCACAATTTGAATAGGCACCGCTTGTTTTTACAAACATGAAATTATTCCGTGACTGTACACTTCACAACTCTAATCAGAAGCGATGACTCGATTATAATTTTATCGGCATATTCCGAGTGTTTGAAGAATGTCATGATAAACAACCGACGAAATACAGAAATGATTAAAAGCAAACACAGGTTCTAATAATATTCTATTAAACTGCTGTAAATTTTGTTACCGAATGAGGAAACTGCGAAGTAATTACCGATTCGTAATTAACGTTTTATTTTGATATATTTAGTTGTGTAGTAAACGCAAGCAGATGGCAGTAATAAAGGTTTTCTAGCTGTAATAAGCTGCCAACGAAGTCACTATACGCTGCGTGATTGAGAAACCATGTGGTGGGAAGTTAGAAATTTTATCTTAATTAATATTCCAGCGCCGCTCGCGCTGGCACGTTCTGAAGTTATTTCCTTTGTATTATAAGAGCTGAAATATGTTAAACTGTTACAGTAAACAAGCTGAAGGACAGAAATATAAAAGGATAATTACAATAATATTATTATTCTCGTATGTCACACAGAAAAATAAAACAATATGATTTTCTATAATATTGTGCGAGTAGTTTCTTTGAGTCTTTAAGTATTATTAACGTAAATTCTCGATCTAAAATGTAAAAAACAAAAATACAACTAATTTATAGACCCCACACTATTTGCCAGCAGTGAAATGCTTGTATCCAATCCACAATAGTAAGAGTACAAGTCGACTAGCCAGAGAGAGATTTCTTAGAAAGTCATGAATACTGTCGCGAAACAGTTTGCTTGCCGAGTTAAATTTCAAATTTGAGATATGCAGTGAAATTACGGGGTACTGTGACTTGACATTTTTAAATCAACAGTATCCGTGTGGCACCTCCGTTGTAAGCGTGTATCGACTACCGTGGTCTCTTACTAACGGACGCATACGGTTGCGTATACAAAAATTTGTCAGTTGAAAAAAGAATTATTCTACACTTTTGTACAAAAGTTGTGAATACGTGCCTCTCTGGCTCGTCGGTGTTTCAGTTGGAACGCATAAAACTGTGCTTGCATGGTTATGTTTTGGGTTTAAAGCGTGGATAGGGTACGACAGTGAAATTATCTGATACGGAAGCATAACACTATACTCATAATCCTCACAGAATGAATTAGCACGAGGGGTAACAACGTCGCAGGCGATGGGTATTATTTTCCATCAACTGCGCCGACAGTTTGCCATTCGACGCATCGTTAGTAAAATTACAAGAGAATCGAGAAACCTCCGCTTTTTGCTGTTACTTTAAAAAAAATCTAATATTGTTTCCTGTCTCGTTTCCAGGCAACGGCACGATAGACTTCCCAGAGTTCCTGACGATGATGGCGCGCAAGATGAAGGACACCGACAGCGAGGAGGAGATCCGCGAGGCGTTCCGCGTGTTCGACAAGGACGGCAACGGGTTCATATCGGCCGCGGAGCTACGCCACGTGATGACCAACCTCGGCGAGAAGCTCACCGACGAGGAGGTCGACGAGATGATCCGCGAGGCGGACATCGACGGCGACGGACAGGTCAATTACGAGGGTAAGTTGACGCATCCACTCCACCGCTCCAAGTATGCGCACATTTACAACACGCCCGGGCGAATTTAGGAAACGATTTTTTTCCCAAATTGGCTCGATTCTGGGTGTTCAAGGTTGTATGCCCAGATGTATAGTTGTTCATTTATCATAACGCATATAATAGTTGAAGTAGCTATTGGTGTTATTGTATAGTGTTATGTTGTTATTAAAATACGTAAACACTAGCCCCCACAGGTTTAGAATTTACGTTGTACGGACTTTATAGGGATGTTGGAATTGGAAATAGTGGGAAAGTCTTTGGATAAATAGTATTATATATTTGTATATTAATAGTAATTATTGTACATAATTATATATAATAAAAGGAAAATTACTGCAGTCTTCTGAAGTAGAGGCTCAGATCGTCCTACCAAAACGTACAAAGTTATGAATACCGTCTTTTAGCATATAATTGTTAAAAAAGAATAATGAAAGTTTATACGGGTACGATGGATAATTAGCTAGCTACCGAGACATGTGATAAGGAGATCTAAAAAGGTCACTTTAGAAATTTGCTATAGGAGTCAACGAACTATTTGCTATGACACTCCAAACAAAAGAAAAAAAAGAGAGATAAGTTTTAACGTAATACACCAGCAATTCTCAGAGCCCCATGTTTATTGATTCTCGTGGAAAATTTGAAATATCATCTGCACTTGAGAATCGTCAGTAAAGTATGTGTACATTTTAACTTTTTGGGCTGAATTAAGAAATTGATCTTAAATTCTTTTAATTTTAAAACTAAAATCTCATACACGCTTTAATATATAAAAGTAAATAGCTTGAAAAGTTCTACCTTTGCTATTAATTATTCTGCTTCGAAGAATCGCAGTGATTTTCTTGGTCTTCTGATAGATAGTCAGACGTGGTAATTCTAAAATGTTTTCTTAAAGATACGTTAAAATTCAGGTAAACTGTATGTCTGAATCGTATTTCGTAAACCAGAACTTGATAGAATCAGCTCGGTATACGCTGTACAAGAGGTGGCCAACTGTGACAGTGCTTAGTTTTTATCCATACATAATAGATAAGATTGCGTGCAGCGTTCCGGACTAGTGTCTCATAATTACGTCATTGTGCGTATAAAAAGTGGCACGGCACACTGGACCTGATGAACTTTTTCATAATAAATACTACTACAAGAATACTGTAGAATTCGGTTGATAATAAAATAGGATCTCTTTGTTTACCAACAACAATAATAATTTATTACAGTAGTTGTTTGTTGCTTATGGTATACAGTAAAGCTGTAAAGTTTTTCGTCGAGAAAATAGCGAGCTAAATCAATTTATCGAAATGGAATATCTATTTTGTTAAATCGATTTATTTTTGTGTAGCACAGATAGTTTACAATCGCACAATTGTTGAGAGTTGCAAAATGAACTCTGCACGCAATGTGCTGTTCACAACGTGAATATAATACCACCCTCTAGTATGTGAATAATGTTGTGTGTACAAGTGAAGTACTCCTACACGGCCCGGCCCCCGCATGTGCAGATGTTCCCTCACACTAACACGGTTGGGTATTGCTTGCGTCCAGAACGTTCACGAATTTCTCCTTCTCATAAAAATATTTAACTACTCGATGTTTACATTACTCGTGATTTACGAACACCGTAACTTCACAATGAAAGGATCGCTGCCAATTTATATCTTCAATCGCTGACACGTTCAAAACCATATCAATCGCTACACGAGGAAAGATTGAGGGGGCGTTGCCTTCACTCGCGTCCCCCTTACGGCATCTGTAGAAATGTCGGCAATTAGATTAGAACATGTTTGTATGTTGAGCTTACACAAGTACAATAGTTGCTCAGCGCTCGTTGTATGTTAATGAAATGTAGTAATGTATATTAAGAAGTGACCCCGCCGTCCACCGTGATTATATCACGCACCTAACAATAGCCATATTGAACACATTCCGCCACGGACCAACCGTAGCGGAATGGTGAATTCCGCTATCGTTTCCCGATATGAGTCACAGGGTAACTTCACGGGTAATTAGATATTGCTTTGTAAGTTGGACGCTTGCTGCCCCGCTCTGCATGGATTCAGTGTTATGTTACGAGTTTCACGGAAAAAAAAAACTGCATTTGGGCGGTCGCCAGCTGGCGTGACGTGGCGATGGCGGCGGCGGCGGCCGTTACACGCGCACTTAGACAAACAAACAGCACGCCAGCAGCCAGCGGCGCCCAGCGCGCGAGCGCCCGGCCGGCCGCGCGTGCCGTCGCCGCGCCGGCCGGCCTGTGTATGCCTGTATCATCCGACCGAGCGTTCTCTCTCTTGCAGACTTCCATGCTCTCGCCCAAATCATATTCGCTCGCGGGGACGGCAGCCGCTAGCGCGCGCTCCGCCGCCGCGCTTGTGATATTAGTACCGTAACTAACAATAAGAAAAGACTCTACGATAACGCTGTGATCTCGAAACGATTTCCCTTAGTAGTGTGTAGCAATGCAATGCAATGCAATGAGCCCAACGGCCTACGTACGTCGAGCGCGGTACGACAATAGGTACATGACAGTGTTAATCTGAATGGTTTGCTGCTCGTTATTAACTGTTCCTATACCTACTACCTTGGATATGTTAGCTGCTCCCGGCTCGTCCGCAACCCCCGCTCCCCCGCGTCCCGCCCCCCGCCATCCCCCACCTCACACTCTGATTGGGATCTCACCACTTGACTATCGACTGTGTCTCTGTTTACTCACCCACGGCGCGTCGGGCGAGTGCAACTCCGTCGCATGGACTCGGAGTTGCACTCGGCCGATTCACAGGGAGTGGCCGCCTGTATTCCGCCTGTATACTGGTGCATGTGTCTAATGTTTGTATAGCAGTTTTCTTATAGAAATACCACCTGGTGATCCCTCCCGGCGCGAGCGTCGTCCGCTCGCCGCGTCCGCTAGCGCGCGGTACACGGTACAGCGCACAGCTTCACGAGACGAACGAGCAGCAAACGATAGCGAGCGTACCCCCCCGTACATTACATGTAACCATAGGCTTGTTCTCGCACCTCACACTTTCGGAATATATATACATACATATAATATCATCGCAGCACTGGCATTCACTGGAATGCGTTTTCAACTATCGCTTTGTTTAAAATATTTTTAATCGATATCCAGAGGGTGGTATTTCACATAATCCCTTTGTAGTGGCATGACGAGGTAAAATATTTCTTGTCGGTTTAATTGTTGTTCGTTGCAGCACCGAGCATACGCTTCGCCTTGCGCTGTGCGTACGTCGTAACGTACACCGCGAGCGTATGGTCGGGCGCGGAGCCCGGCGCCGGGCCGCCTGTCTAATAGCGGTTACTACATCTGTATTAGTGCATCTACACTCCTGTCGGTTACTTTTCGTTGTGTTATAATATATTGTTGTGTTAACATTTTATCTTAGACATGTTATGCAAGGGTTTATGTGAAACGTTTCTTGTAAATCTATATTCTACTTGTAACGGCCAACGGCCGAATGTGGCGCGTACTCCGCCGCTGCCGGTACTAATGTGGACAATTTTGTTTCTTTCCAGAATTCGTCACCATGATGACGTCGAAGTGAGCCGCCGGCTAGTGTGTGTGTAAAAAGCAGAGAATTTAAATATACATTTTGTTTCATGACACACAATATTTACCATCGTATTGGACCTGCATTTCTCTAGTGTTTGCGATAAATTAAATATTGTCATCGTTTCAGTTTAATGATATAATTGTATGCGCAGGCGCGGCGGGCGGCGGGCGGCGGGGCGCCCCCGCGCCGCCCTCCGCCTCGCCTTTTTATTTAGATTTTAAAGTATTCCGTTAATTTTACTATGTAAGAAAAACTTTAACTGTAGCGGTACAAAGGAAAACGAATAGGTGTGCGTCGCAATGTGATGGTATAAGCCTCGGGTTCGTGTCGGCTCATAATTTATATTTGTGTATATTTCTGCGGGCGGCCGCGAGGGGTCGCTCGCGTCGCTCGTCTGTATAATGTGTGTGTGCGTGCGTGCCTCTGTCTGCGTCGCGCCCTGTGTATGCGGTGCTAGCGTCCGCACCTTTCCGATACATTTTAATGTAAATTTTTTTCAAGTATGAGATATTTATAAAGTACGTGAAGATTAAAAGTTTAAAAAAATCCCAAAAAAAGTTGTAGTGTGCTGGTGCAAGTGCGCCAGCGGCTGCAGCTCCCGCTCCCCGTGCACCGACGGGCATAATGGATGTTTCAGTCTAACTAACTCAGTAAACGAATAAATTAGATTTATCGGTACTGTACTGCATTAATTGTATTGTATCTGTAAATGACTTGATAAATATTATATTTCTATTGTTGGTGAAACTAATTCTATCGAGATGAAAGTAATCCGCTCTGTTATTCTCTTACCACATTTGAATCATTCTGTTATTAAATTTTACAAAAGACATAACTGAAAATAAATGTTTCTTCATTTTTAGGTCAATAAGCATCGGTGTTTCATTTAGTCCCGTTGTGTTCGGTTACGTTTGGTTCGCCCCGCCGCCCCTCCACTGTAAACCCCCCCCCCCCCCCCCCCGCCCCTCCCTTGCACGCCCACACTCCATTCGTTTGTCCACCGGGGAGGTTTATCTCTCTATTCGGTTATAGACTATTCCGCTAACGGTTATTTTGTTATTTATTTGTAATAGGTACTTATTATAATAATAAATACATGCCATAAGATAAATATGTCTATTTAATGTAAACCTAAATTTTTCAAATATTACAAACACACTTGACGCTGCACTCTTGTTAACTTGAAACAACAACACTGATTTATTGTGCGAGCGAGATGGTATTGTCTCGCTCTGATAAACTAATACAGGTTTATGTTTGGTTTATACTCGTAAAGTTAAGTTTTGTAAGACTAATAGTCAATTTAAGGAGTTTTTTTTTTTAATGGATGATAATGGAATGGTAACTCCGCCTGCTCTAACGGTATACGCTGGCAGGACACCAGTGAAGGATGGTATGTGAGAATGAAAAAACAGGTCAGTTAGCCCATCGTGATGAATAAATACACTTGGAATTCAGCACGATGGTATCCAGGAGGACCACGTGGAGGTCGATCTGTTTAGTGTATATTGTAGGAATTGTTATCTCGTTTGGTTTTACTGCTCGCGCATATTGCAGCGAACCGAAACGCAGCGCATTGCATATATATTTTAGCAAATTATTGTTTATAATGTAAGTATAAAGAATCCTCAATGTAGGCAGTCCGTATACATGATTTACATAAAAGATCGAGTCCCACAAAAAACCAACTTCGGTGAGAACAAAACCAATAATTTTGACATTTAAACTAAAGTACTGGAACGATTTTGGTAAAATTTCTGCATTGCCAATAGGTAAGTATGTCCTTTGAGATAAAAAAAATCGGTTTATAAATGAGTTACATCGTAACAAAAAATACAACCGAAATGAAAACCGTCTTTTCGAAGTCGGTTCTAAATGTACTTTTTTTTTTAATAGGTTATAATAGAATGGTCGTCCCGCCTTACGCTATCGGTATACACTGGCGAGGTACCAGTGAGGGATGATAGGTGAGGATGAAAGCAGGTCAGTTAACCCATCGTGACGAATTCAATAAATCATAATGGTTTTCAAGGGAACCGCATGGAGGTCGACCTGATAGGGTACATTGCTAGCAATGGGGCTTTTAGACCCCATTACTATTTCCCCCCGGTTCTCTAAATATACTGTATCGAGTTGCAAGAATGCTCATCGCAATATACGCGAACGTATAGTTGCACACAAATAAACTGTAATATAACGAAATAGACGTGTAAGACCCGGCATAGATTGGGCCACTCCTTCCTTTCCCATGGGTGTCATAAGAGGCGACTAAGAGATGGGCAACAGCGTCCCACATAAAACATCAGAAGCTAAACCGCAGTTGCCAACCCAACGACCATGGCAACTACTGGCAAAGCCCCTTTTATGAGGAAGGCTATGTTCAGCAATTTACTGCTAATATATACACACATACATAATATACCTCTATTTACTTTACGTATATATGAAATTTGTATCAAAGTTCACAGAATTTAAAAGGTAAATGAATTGAGGATTTCTAAGTGTATTGTTATCGACGAGGCTGTTTGAACGTCGCTACTGTATCACATATTTCCAACCGAAACGCATGCAAGTGAACTGTTTGATAAGTAAAATAGATGAAAAGGTATTTTTAGAATTAAAGAAATACTTTTGCGGGTAGTATTATCTATATTTTCATTTTTTCTGCTAATAAATACATCTCAATGGTATCACAGTAAAAAATACAACATTACAATACATACATGTAGCTAATTTTAAACATTATCCATCCATGTGAATTAATATCCATAGGTAGGTGGCTGCCATATTGATTGCTCCAGAATAGTTTTGCGAGGAAGCAAAATCATTAAAATAAATCAATTGTTGTTTACTCTTGCTTATGAAAAATAAATTTGACACATTAGGATTTTTTTTTATTTTATTTGTTCTAATACATAGGTGATGTAAAAGAAAAAAAAACACCAAAAGTTCAGCAGAAATATTAACAATGGGTAGTTTTGTATGGAAATCGCTATTTTGGATTACATTGACTTGGTTGTAAGTGATACAAAGTTCACTAGATGTAGTCAGCGGAATCTGGAGCAGATTCTATTTTTTTGAGTTTTTATCCGCATTTCCTGCGATGGCAGCTCTGCCCCGTACTACCGGCAGCTATGTGGCGGCGGCGGCGGGGGGAGTGGCGCTGGATTCCTGCGCTATGAGCTGCAGCGCAAGCGCAAGCGGGCGCGCGGGCCGCCCGGACATGCGGCGCCCGCGTAGATACGGAGGGCCGCCTCTCTCCACGCCGCGCGTGTCCAAGTGTAGCCAGTCGCAGCACACGAACCGCTGCACAAGTGAAATTGAACTGTGCATTGGTGGTATACCATAGATGAGGATGAAGTAATGAGAGTAACCCCATGCTACCAGTATACTATTATTTCAGCCGTTCTCAACTGCTGAAAGTCTCAAGTCTTCCCCCATAAGTGGAGTTTTGCCAGTATTTGCCACGCTTGTCAACTGCAGTTAGGGTTTTTTTTTTAATGGATGATAATGGACTGGTAACTCCACCCGCGCTATCGGTATATACCGGCGGGGCACCAGTGAAGAATCTATCATTCACCTATCGTGAGGATGAAGTAAGTCAGTTAGTCCATCGTGACGAATTCAACGAGAATTGTTCACGATGGTTTCCTGGGGGAACCACGTGGAGGTCAACCTAATAAGGCATATTGCTAGCAATGGGGCTGTCAAGCCCCATTGCTAACAATCCCTTTCCCCCCTGCAGTTAGGGTTTTAGAAATGTTTTAAAAGGGACGCTGCTGCCCGTCACTCAACCTTTAAGTTCCCTTAGTCACCTCTTACGACATCCACGGGAAAGGAAGGGGTGGCCTATTCTATGCCCGGACACGAATTATGATATTTCTGATGGATATCATATGGATTATATGATGGATAAATACCAATGAGATAATCTAGAATTGATAATAACGTGGATGTTGGGAGATTGTTAGTAATTGAGTATTTTTCAGTTTTACCTTGGCGGAATCCTGTTAACCATCATAACTGGTAAGTCGTCGTGTCGACCCCAACATAGAATGGGCCACCCCTTTTCCCGTGTGTGTCAAAGAAGGCGACTAACGGAATTTGAGGTCGAGGGATGAGCAGCAGCGTCCCTCTTAAAACATTCCCAACGGCCTCACTGCGGTTGCCAAGCATGGCAACTACTGGCAGAACTCCCGTTATGGGGAAGGCTTATGTCCAGCAGTGGACAGTTAACGACTGAAATGGTGATGAAGTCACGTAAAAGTTACGTTAATAAAGATTTATATATATATATCCTTTACTATACTTTTTTTTGTAATATAATATAGGTACCCTGAGAAATGCTGCGCCAAGACAAGACGTTGCTTTCCCGGAGCCTTTGTTTCTCAAGTCCACCGATGGATCATCTGGAAAAATATAATTAGTATAGTAAATGCATAGTAATGACCTATTTCTATTTCGGCCATGTAGTCCCGCTATAGAATAGGTCACCGCTTCCTTTCCTGTACATGTCGTAAGAGGCGATTAAGCGAGGGCGAGGGATGGGCAGCAACGTTCATCTTAAAACATCTCTAAACTGATTGCGGTTACCGATCCGCCCAAGCGTGGCAGCTACTGGCAAAACCCTCCTAGGGAGAGGCTTAAGTTCAGCAATGGACAGTTAAAAGCTTATATGCTGATGAATGACCTATTTCGATCTCTAATGCCATACATTTAGAGCATTTATAAAGATAACAAAAAAAATCCAAATCGGTTAACAAGTTGTAGTTATGAGGTACCAAAGAAAAAATATTTACAACCGATTTGAAAACATTTTTGAATTCTGTTGAATTGAAATGTTGTTATATATATTCACATTTTGCGATTGTGTTCACATTTTATTCAATAATTTCCTCAATCTCCGCTGGAGGCGCTGTTAAGTTTTTCATGCAAATTTATCAAGTAATTGCGTGAATTTACTGGGTACAGAGGAATAACACCTGAGTCCTCTGGAATGACAACGCATGGGGGGTATCATGGGCGAAACAGTATACTCTGTTATATCCATGGTACTGCTCATGTCTATAGGCGACGGTTACCACTTTCCATCAGGTGGGCCCTTAGCTTGTTTGCCATTCTAAGTTGTATAAAAAAAAAAGTTAACGTGAATGCCCCCATACATAAATCTTCGTACGGTTCAGAATAGAGAGAGAGACAGAACTTATTGAGAAATGTTTTTATTCACTTGAAGCTATTTTGATGTAAAATTTTAAGAATAAGTTCCAAATGTAATATTAGCACGTAGCACGGTTGAATGCAGTTTTCTTTAACATTAAATACTTCTAATGTAATAACCTGTATTCGGGGGAAAGGGATTGTTAGTAATGGAGACTGAGAATCCCATTGCTAGCAATATACCCAACCAGGTCGACCTCATCGCGGTTCTCCCTGGAAACTATCACGGTTAATTCCTGACGAATTCATCATGATAGGCTAACTGGCCTGTTTTCATTCTCATCTATCACCCTTCACTGGTGCTCCGCCAGCGTATCCCGTTAGCGCAGGCGGGGTTGCCATTACATTTTCACCCATAAAAAAAAACCTGTATTCGAGCAAATAAAGTTATCATTTATTCATTCACTCGCACTAGGCTCTCTGATAATATTATCCTGTTTACTTAAGCCGAAATCAAAAACATTGGCTCTTAAATGCATAGCTTTAGGTGCTGATTCCTTATAAAACGATATCGTAGCTTGAGGATCAGACAGTGTGACTGTGGCGTTTATCATTATAGAATCGGCGTGATGGTCACAGTGTAGCGCGGCGCCACTGACCCGTGAGCTGCCTATGGTAGTACTCCCAGAGTGGCAGACGCCACGGCCTGTCTCCTGTGATGGCACCCGCGTGCTGTAGCGTGCGCCAGGCGCGCTCGCAGCTGCTGAAGCAGCCGTACGCGCCGCCGCCCGTTGCCACCATCACGCCCTCTGGTGGGAGCATGCCGATTATAATTAAATTTCATGCTAACTGTACGCACGTGTGAGGTGTGAGGAACGACCTGCGTTTCCTCGCCTCTGGCATACCATGTCATGGTTATGTTTAAATCAACGATGGAAAACATTCTCACACCCATGACGATTTAATATTGTGGTCTGCTCTGTTATTGTAATAAAAAAAAACTTTACGTTCAACATTGTAAATGACTTTTTTTGTAATTTACTAGCGACCCGTCCTGGCTTCGCACGGGTGGACATTTTAACATTTTAAAAAGTGGCCATTAAGGCTGCACACGCGACGGAAGCTTAAAAATGGAGTAACTACTCCCGTTTTCCCAACATTTCCCTTCACTGCTCTGCTCCTATTGATCGTAGCGTGATGAAAAGTATATTATAACCAGCCCAGGAGTATGAAGAATAATTGCACCAAGTTTCGTTAAAATCCGTCGAGTAGTTTTTGTTTCTATAACGAACATACAGACAGACAGACAAAAATTTTACTGATTACATTTTTGGCATCAGTATCGATCACTAATCACCCGCTGATAGTTATTTTGGAAATATATTTCATGTACAGAATTGACCTCTCTACAGATTTATTATAAGTATAGATTAATAAATATATTTACTAAGAACGTTCGTGCATAATGTATGCATAGCTATGTCTCTCTGGTCAAGGCGGGGGAAATGGTCAATACTAACTGGTGAGCGTGGCGACATCTATGACGAGCGAGGGCTTGTGTACCGCCTGCCCGTATACGAGCGCGTCCGCCAGCATCAAGTGGCCCTCGTTGTCCGTGTCCTCGATCTACGAAAACATGGCAAAATTCTATCTAATTTTATACAGTTATGTCATTTAATCGCTGAACTTTCAAACAGTCGCGTCCTTCACTTTTGAAAGTTCGTGATTCCCTGTTCATCCCTATGGTTGGTTGATAGAAAATGCTACTAGCACTAAGTTTTTCTTTTTTTTTTATACAACTTACAATGGCAAACAAGCTGACGGCCCACCTGATGGAAAATGGTAACCGGCGCCTATAGACATGAGCAGTACCGTGGACATAATAGAGTATACTGTTTCGCCCATGATACCCCCCATGCGTTGCCATTCCTGAGGATTCAGGTGTTATTCCTCTGTACCCAGTAAATTCACGCCATATCCCACCCTTCAAACCGAAACACAGCCATGCAAACACAACTGCTTCACGGTTGAAACACGAATGGGACAGAGGTACCCAAGCAAACGACTTTTGTACAGTCTCCCTCTGGTTTTGTATATTTTTTTTGTTAATGAAGTTATTTAAATAAATATCCTTAGACTAATGCAAACGATACATTTATCAATAGAATCTATAAGTTAGAAGAAGATAGCGATATCAGGTGTCTTGTTTTTTCTCATGTACCATCAATAGATTCGTTTGTTTATTTAGATCGTCTGAATATTTGACTGATATATCTACAATAAAGTAAAAAAAAATGCTTAATTAACAGTAATCCTAGTTAAAAAAAAGCCTTTTTTAACACAGAGAACACGAAGACACGTGAAGACAAATGTCTGTAATAAGCCGGGATTGAACCTGCGACCGTCTACACCACCAAGGTGGTCCATTGTGTTTCTTTATGGTAGCGGCGAGGCGCCTTCCTTTCCCGTGGGTGTCGTAAGAGGCGACTAAGGAAGGGCGAGGAATGGACAGCAGCGTCCCTCTTAAAACATCTCTAAAAGTTGCCAGCACGCCAGCCAAGTGTGGCAACTACTGGCAAACCTCCCCTTATGGGGAAGGCTTATATCCAGCAGTCGATAGTTAACGGCTGAAATAATAATGGTATCGGTGAGTACCTGCATGTAAATCCCGTTGAGCGCCTGCACCACGTCGCCCACCTTCATGCACTGTCCGCTGATCATGTTCTCGCACAGCGGTATCACCGCCACCACGTTCAGGGGCACCTGTGCGTACACCACGGGTGGACCCCAAGTTACTCAATACTTCAACAATTTAACAATTAACATAGGTTCCTCAAATGCAGGCTCGACCCATATGGGGACCATAGTTAAGCAATTTTGTAATTTACTGTCACTATCTATCCCCTCTCACCGTACTGGTTTCGCTTCAAATTCTTTTCTCCTACATTCTTCACAACTCTGGAACGCGCTTCCTGATGCCATTAAGAGACTACCGACTAAACCGTCTTTCAAAAAAAACGTTCACGCTCACTTTTTTACTTTATCCGAACAGTAAGTACTTTATATTATTCTCAATTTCGTGTATAATATAGTATATGCCATATATGTGTAAGTATATTTGTTATTCGTATATATTTATTCGTTTATATATGTAATTCTAGTATGTATGTATATCAATAATTAGTAGTACCGCATTCCAGTATTCTGACACTTCCCTACGGTTGACTAGGAGAGAATGCTTTTAGCATTAAGTCCGCCATGTACACATATTTATACTAATGAATAAATAAATAATTTTATTTAAACATATAGTATAATTACAACTGGACGCCATTTGTACATTCTTTTTCTTATATTAAACAATATATAGAAGATATTTAACAAAAAAATACCTACATGAGGGGTTTTCATAAAAGAAGGCAAAATAAGTATTCTTAAAAATTATGACTGTGTGTCTGTTTGTTCCGGTATTACTCAAAAACTACCGCACTAATTATATGCGTTTTTTACAGTTTTATTTCCGGAGAGCGAATTTTAAATCTGGCCCTCTAGACAAGTAGCAAGCGAATTCATCGATGAAGTTGACATCACTAGGCAGTCCATGAGTTGGAATGGGACATCCGATGTTGCTATCTCATTGTATCTCAGACTCGCTGGCAATGTCGATTCCATTGACGAACTCGCTTGCCACTTGTCTAGAAAGCCTGGTGTAAATTTGATGGTAATATACCATCTATAAGTGTTCCGAAAACGTTTCATAGACGTACGGAGTCACGGACAAAAACTAGTAATGAATATTAAACGTGTTTTATCTGAAGGAGAGTAGAGTCTTCGGAACTTGAATGCATGAGACGATGCACTTTCATAATGCACCTATCTAGAGATGTATGTATAGATAAAGGCTTTTGGCACTTAGTTCTCTCTGCTTAATCCGCGGAGATTTGGCATAAAGACAGATACAGTATTGACCAGAGAACGTACTTTAAGCTTAGCAATGGTCCGCATCGCGGCGAGCGTGGCAGCGGCGCCAGCCATAGCTGCGTGTCCGGCAGCCAGGTCGCGTCCTCGTCGCAAGCACAGTCCACCACTGGACTCGCACAAGTATATTATTAATTGTTAAAAAGCACAATTTGATAGCTAAACAATATTATAAATGTGAGTTTGTTTGTCTTAGGGCCTCCAGGACTTTACCAATTGTCATGATCTTTAGTATAAGCATATATAATATTTAGGATGTGTAGGCATCAAATGGAAACACCATATTTACATAACATACGTTTACTATCGAAACGGAGTTACATTTTGAATTCCTTTCGTAAGCGCGCGAGCCAGTGCGTCGCATAGAAACGCCCCAAGAGCCGGTCCGTAACTGCAAGCGGCGTCGGCGCCGCTAAGCTAACGGTACCGCACGTTTGGGGGGAAAGGGATTGTTAGTAATGGAGACCGAGAATCCCATAGCTAGCAATATACCCAACCAGGTCGACCTCCTCGCGGTTCCCCCTGGAAACTATCATGGTTAATTCCTGATGATTTCATCATGATGGGCTAACTGGCCTGTTTTCATTCTCATCTATCACCCTTCACTGGTGCTCCGCCAGCGTATCCCGTTAGCGCAGGCGGGGTTACCATACCATTTTCACCCATAAAAAAAAAACGGTACCGTACAGGAGGGCGACGCGCGCGGGGAGGACGATCAGAAAGGGGAATTACCGCGTAACAAGGATGCACAACGACATAGGTTTTTATACTGATCAATCTATATACATATCTTAGTCACGTCGAGACTATATCACCCTTTAAATGTCCATTTCTGAACATAAGTCCCATAAGAAAGATTTTGGCAGTAGTTACCACGCTTGATGTACCACGGGTTGGCAACCGCAGTTAGGCTTTGGTGATGTTTCAATAGGGACGCCGTTGCCTATCCCTCGACCATTAAGTTCCTTAGATGCCACTTACGACACCAAAGGAAAGGAAGGAGTGGTCTATTCTATGCCGGGACCACACGGCACTTTATATATTTGTCAGTAGCCAATTCAATTGCTAATTAAGTACTAGGACAGCAGAAACATGGCTTAGTATTTCAACATCATTCATCATTTCATCCTTTACCTGTCCACTGCTGAACATAGGACTCCCCCATAGACTGTTATAAGGAACGGTCCTGAGCCACCTGCATACACTGACTCCCTACAATACATTTTAGATAGATAGATAATCTTTATTACCAGTAATAATATTTAAAAAAGTCAACAATAAAAATAAAAAAAAATAACATTTTGCTGGTTGCTGGAGCCGCGTCAGCTGTTGCTGTATATGCACACCTCCAGCGAGATGTACCTATATAGCGCTGGTTTTCAGGCGGCCCCTTAACTCGTTTACTTTTAGCATACGTCTTTACATTTAGGTAAGGTCGTAACTCCACCTAGGAGTCGTCCTACTGCGTTTACCCGTACCGGATCTCTACTCAAGGAGGATAAGCAAGCTGAAGTGCCAAGAGGCTGATTACATAGCTCGAAGAACCGACAACTGTCATGGTTTTATGGTTTTATCCATATTACTAAAGGATTTGGCTTATACTCGTAGTTTTACGACCGGCCGCCTGCCTGACGTCAACCCTCTTTGGGAAGAACCGATGGGGAAGAAAGGTTGTTGAGTAGCTGAGTATAGTAGTAGGGCTGTCGAGTGACCTGTCGAAGGTGACGCCGGTGGCGGCTAGCAGCACGGGCGGCGCGGCGGTCGCGGCGCGCGCCAGGCTGCACTCGAGCAGCAGCGCGCCGCCGCCGCCGCCGCGCGCCGCCGCCTGCAGCGCGCGCAGCCCCGCCGCCTCCACCCACGCACCCTCACGCACCTCCACCCGCACGCCCAGCGGGCACAGCGTGTCCAGCGCCGCCTGCCGCCCACGCACACTATAGTCCTATCCTCATTCAGGTAGAGAAAGATAAATGCAACATCAAATGGTTCGATTCAAATTAATCTCATTCGCTGCCGGCTACATTCATCAATCTATACAAGTTCGCTAGTTAAGTATATTTAAAACTTGACATTTTTATTACGATATCAAAATGACTAATCTATGGTGCTATTCATATCTGTAAACCATCAGCTCATTTGCCATTTATATTATTAAAGAGAAAATTTGGTAGTCAAACCTGCGCCAAGTCGACAGGCGTCATCTTGTTAGCGGGCATGTCGGACAGAAACCGAGCCCAATTTTGAGCGCGCCCGAACTCGGCGCCTTCGTTCCACTCCGAAGTTAGACTTTCGTCGCGGCTGTCTTCACCGGTGTACAACGACACCCTAGACTTGGGTTCCTTACACGAGCTGAACTCCTGGAACCTATCAAATACGGGTGAAGATATAATAGTCAGAGAAATGTCGACAGTTGCTCTTGAGCCGAGATTACCAATTTTTTAAGCAACTCTCAAAAAACCTATAGTACCAATTTATCAATTTAGTCCTTAAGAATGGCAACGCATGAGAAGTGTTAGCGCTTTCTGTGATGTCCATTGTGCTATTTACGCCTATAGGTAAGTGATATGGGCTCCGGCAGCAGGGTGCAAGGTGGTGCATTTACACCCCCTACCGGATATAAAATACTTGAAATCTTTGAATAAAAATTTAAGGCTAATAAAATATACGAGTATATTTTATTAGTTAATAGTATAGTGTGTAGATGCAGATAATCTTCCTGAAAGTTATCTTAGCAGCACCATGGTAGGTGACTGTTACCACTTTCCATCGAATGGACTGTTAGAGCGTCGTCAGAAGCATGTGGTTCAGGACCATTTCTTATAACAAATAAGTGTTCCTGGAATTATTTTTTTGGGACTGCTGAAAACTGGGGCTTGGTGTCCAAAAAAAGGTTACATCAAATTCAGCAACGTTCTTATTCCGTGTGGTCAAGGCATAGAATAGGCCACCCCTTCCTTTCCTGTAGGTGTCATAAGAGGCGACTAAGGGAGGGCGAGGGATGGGCAGCAGCGTCTTTCTTAAGGCATCTCCAAAGCCTAACTGCGGTTGCCAATCCGCCTGCCATAATAAAATAATAATAAAAACTCTCTTAGAAATAATGGTTATTCTTATGCTATTTGTATATGTACAAATTAGATATCGCCAAACGCATTAGATCTGTTGTTTAAAGATCAAACGAGGTATAGTCCCGGTTACGGCTACTAACTGCAGAAATCTCTGGACAAACCAAGTACCTCCAGGCAGCGAGCTCGGCGGCCTCGGCGGCGGCGCGGCAGCTGGCAGCCGGCTCCACGTCTATGTGACCGACGCCACGTGCCTGCAGCTCACGCACACCCGCGCCCACTCCCCACCGGACATTCTCCTACGCCACATTCAACCACAATTAATCAAATACCTCATTAATTGATAGGAAGGTATTGTTATCATTAGAATCAACTTCCAGCAGCAGTATTTCCGAACCGATACGACATCATAACCTCCAAGAAAAGAGCATATTCCTTTTTAAAAGACCGTCAGCACACCTGCAATGCCGCTGGTGTTGTGGGTGATCATGGGCGGAGGTAGTCACTTACCATTAGGTGAGCCGCATGCTCGTTTGCCCCCTGTATTGTAAGAAAAATCATTATTGCTAGGTATATATGTTATCAGATCGACTTTACGCAGTCCCCATTGGAAACCATGGAGTGAATTCATGATGACGGGCCAACTGACCTAATTCCATCTTCACCTGTCATCTTTCACTGGTACTCCGCCAGTATATACCAATAGCACCGGGGTTATACTATTCCATTAAAAAAAAACCTGCTAATTTAAAAACCGTTATATGTCCACGAGAAATTATCCTCTTCGTGCCATCGAATAAAACTTCGACTTACTTTAGTCTCGTCTAATTCCTCCAACTTGTTGTAGCCAGGGTCTTTGGGTCCAAAACATGTGATGGCAACCGCAGAATACTCCGGCAGTAGGTCAGTCACCGTGAACGCCTTACCTAGTTTCAATTGACTTGACAACCTACAATTTAGGAATTAGATTTTGTTTTTAGGAATGACGTTTTATTTTACATCCATTTCGATATTAGACGACCACTGTGGTGTGGCCTTTTAGTACACTATTTTATTGTTCTGGCATGTCAGTAAGTTCAATACTAATTCTCATATTTATAGTTATATTTATGAGTATATTTGTATTTGTCATTTTATATATATTTATTTATTTATTACATCCACTGGGTGAGCCTTAGTCTTCCAATACGCTCACCCAGGAAAGCATCGGTACAATAACATATAAAAAGGAATATTACACAAAAATATTAAACAAAAAATAATATAAGTAATAATAAAAGCAAAACTGTGATTTTTCACTTACTCATTCAAATACTTGCATAACTTCCCATTTGTCTTCTGGTTGATCTCCTCCGCGGTGGGCGTCAGTTCGAACTTCTTCCCCGATTCGTAAACGCCCACCACTAAGCCTTTCTACAATCGATATTCAATTTGCAATCCTCATATAGATATGACACAATATACCTAATAATGGAGGGGGGGGGGGAGAAGGAATCATCAGCAATGGAGATTGACAGCCAAAAGCCAAAGAGTATTGCTAGCAATATGCCCTATTAGGTCGACCTACACGTGGTTTCCCTGGAAACCATTGTGAACAATTGTTGAATTCGTCACGATGGGCTAACTGACCTGCTTCATCCTCACCTATCATCTTTCACTGGTAATCAAGGAGATTAAAAACCCATAAACAAATAACTTATTTCTATTATGATTATTATACAATGGGGGTTTTAACACCCTCACCCCGGGGGAGAAAGGTTTGTTAGTAATGCAGACTACCAGTCCCGTTTGCTAGCAATATACCCTATTAAGTCGACCTTCTCGTGGTCTCCCTGGAAATCGTATTGAATTCTGACTAACTGACCTGTCTTTTCATCCTCACCTATCATCCCTTACTGGTGTCCCGCCAGTGTATACCGTTAGCGCACGCGGGGTTACCACTCCATTGTCATCCATTAAAAATCCTCACTCCTCCCCCTCGCTTCCGGAATCATTCGCTAAGAGAAAGAATAGCTTCTTTGAAAATAACAACGTTGTTTATTGCAAATATTGTCATATTACATTATTTATTTGAGTCATTAGTGTCAATAAATTGCAAATGATCAATCAATTGCAACCCCTATTGTTAGTTTTTTTTAATGGGTGATGATAGAATAGTAACCCTAGCCGCGCTCTCGGTATACACTAGCGGGGCGCCAGTGAGCGGTGATAGGTGAGGATGAAAAGGCGGGTCAGTTAGCCCATTGTGACAAATTCGTTGATAAATTGGTCACGATAGTTTCCAGGTGGAACCGCGTGGAGGTCGACCTGATAGGGTATATTGATAGCAATGGGGACTAAATTCCCCATTACTGACAATCCCTTCCCTCCAGCAATCCACCCTATTAGGTCAACCTCCAAACAGTATCCTCTGAAAATCATGATGGCTAATTTTAATAGAATTTGTCACGATGAGCTAACTGACCTGCTTTCATTCTCAACTAACATCCCTCACTAACGCCCTACCAGCGTTTACTGATAGTGCAGGTGGGATTATCATTTCATTATCACCCATTAAAAGATAGAAAAAGCTGCTAATAACTTGTTACAAAAAAGTTTTGTATCAATATCTGGTATAGTAGTAAACAAATAAAAAATATATTTAGACAGATGATAAACAAGTAGAGCTGCTACAGTTAACACTCATGTAATTCACAGCCTATTAATTAATACCTTGGAGCCATCCAAATTGTTAGCCTGGTTAGATTCCTCCACTGAACAAGTGCTCTCCTGCGGTGTTCCTGCACAGTATGATCGGCTCACTACTCTTACAGAATTGAACTCTTTTGGAACAAATTTTATACATGAAAACAATTTTGTAAATTGCATTATTAAAAAAATCTAATAAAACATAAGTGACATAAGTACAATATCTAATAAATATAAATGGAACCATCTAGATTTTAGATATGTTAGAATGCATTATTTTAATTATAGAATGTATAATTTTAAATAGATTTTTATTAAAATTTATGGTTTTTTTTTATACAACTTAGAATGGCAAACAAGCTGACGGCCCACTTGATGGAAAGTGGTAACCGTCGCCTATAGACATGAGCAGTACCATGGACATAACAAAGTATACTGTTTCGCCCATGATACTCCCCATGCGTTGCCATTCCTGAGGACTCAGGTGTTATTCCTCTGTGCCCTGTAAATTCACGTCATATCCCACCCTTCAAATCAAAACACAGCCATGCAAACACAACTGCTTCTCGGTAAAAACACGAATGGGACAGAGGTACCCAAGCAATCGACTTTTGTACAGTCTCCCTCTTTTGATTATGTAAACTAAATAGAGGAAGATTATATTATATAAATTTCCATAGACACCTTAAAAATTAAGTATTCAAAACACAGAGAATGATAGTGTGGAATGAGTAGAATTATGTTTGTATAAATAGTAGTATATTTAATAAAAATGCAAAAATTCATTATTATATACAATTTTATTTAAAAGCAACAAACAAGTATCTTTGTATCAACAAACAGTTCTTAATCGACCTGTGGGTAGAAAAAATAAACAATACTATTAACATATCATCTTTTATTACCAATATTAATTTTAAAACTAGTCGTTCTAGGTACATGTCTTATGGTTAAAGATATTCTAGTCTTTCTAGGAACAGTTGATCCCTTCACATAGTCAGTTGAGCACATACTTAGATTAGCTATGGAATTGTCAAGTGTATCCTCTGTCAATTCCTCTATGCAATGTAAATAATAATTGAACAGTTTATCTTGAAGAATAAGCAAACTTCTAGGCTCTAAAAGTAATGAAAATGCTGGAGCCATTTGTATTTTGTCTGTATCGTCATTAGGCTCCAGAAACTTTAGAACAATATGTGAACCTACAGATATGGTGGTAATAGTGGGGTAGAACAACGAGCCATCCACATGTGGCATAATGCCTTGTCCTGGCAAATACTCATTCACTAAAACGTGATTAGGCCTTTTTCCACCCATTATGTCCAGTTTATGGATTCTTTCTAAGTAGTTATCAAGCCAGGACGGTATGGTCTCTGCAATCATGCCATTGCTGTGCGGTATGCCGCCCCAGTTCTGCAGCCGTCTATTTGAAAGTTGCGTCCACTTGGGTTTTGGCGCCGAATTTATGTTTGACAAAATTGAACTCTCCTCGTTCGGGGTAATGTACTCCGATATGTAGTAAGCGGTAGATGCCACCTAAAAATATTAGCCTTATCACAATATTGATCTTATCAGAGCTAGTTAGGTTCATTAAAGTTTTTACTCTATTCTCGAATATTTATACCTTAGTCTATAATTAAGATCTTAGATATGCGGCGATCTATAATTACCGCCTATTCAAAAGAGTTTTTACTGTAAAGGTGTAAATTTATAATATTAATAAAATACTGCAATATTATACTTACATTTTGAACTTCATACTTTTTGATATCAGAAGACATTTCTATAAAACATGTCAAGCATTATTATCGTTTAAGACTATGCTTTTAAAAATAGAAAGGTAAGATTATATAATGCCAATTAGATTTATCCACTGATACAATTAAAATCGGAAGCATTCATAAAATAGGAAAATAATGTAAATATTTATAAAATAAATTAAGACTATTATAAATTGTCAAATTTAACTGACACTGACGTACTATCTGACAATGACACACACACTCTAAAACAAGGAATAACGAAATATTTGACGACAACCATCACTGTTCACAGATTAGATTGTCTAAAGAACAAACTAGGTAGAATCTACTGTAATCTTCTATCTATAATCGCAAATTATTTTATAATTATAATTAAAATAATATTTTAATTGCGAAAAAATGTATAAGATAATAAGTAAATAATTCTTGATGTAAACCTACCTACCTACTTATAAAAAAATACAGACACTTATTTAAAACATTACTCTCCTTTGTATTCATAAAAACATCAAATTTCTCATAAACCTATTTAAGGTTGAACTGTTTGTTTCTTTCTTTTGTCAAAATAGTGAAATAGTCAAAATACATTTGTAGTCGATTTTAGTTTTTACGAATGAGTGATACATGTATGTATTTTAGATAGTATGTTTGATTTTTTTTTATATTTTTAGTCTGTGATTCTAGTTCTAGTTCCGTTTTGTTACTTCTCACTTTATTCATAGACATGTTTTTGAAGTAAATATTTTATTTTATTTCATCCTTTGTTTTCTTTTAAATTTAATCAATAGCTGTATTTTATAAGAATTTAGTGAATTTACATATTTTTATTCTTTTTATTAAAATTTGGTCTACATAAAGTAAATCATTGTAAACCTAATTATTGACATGTTCTAGTAACTAAAATCAATGCAACAATGTGCAATCACAAAACTTAACTCATATAGCTAAATCTTTTTTGACAGCCAACTATCTGGATATAATGTTATTTGTTAGATATTTTTTTGTAAATATTTGCTAGTCGAGCAATTGTATAATGTGATCACAATGGGCGGTTGCATTGGTATAACTAGGAGCAGAAGCGGTCCAATCGAAGAATCATCTGGGACGGTGTCGCGTCCTAATTCCGGTACGTGAACATTCCCTCTCGCTTGTCGCCGTGGAGACCACTGTGCGTGGTGTTTAACTAACTTTTCGTTTATTGCAGGCGGGCTGAGGAAGAATCAGTCGCTGTGTCATGAAACAATAAGATGGAAATCTGACGTGCCACTTACTGAAGGACAGTTGAGGAGTAAACGAGATGAGTTCTGGGACACTGCCCCAGCCTTCGAGGGCCGCAAGGAGATCTGGGATGCTCTGCGAGCGGCAGCGGTGGCAGCTGAAGCGATGGACTTTCAACTGGCACAAGCCATTCTGGATGGAGCTAGTGTTTCTGTACCTAATGGATATCTCACTGAATGCTATGACGAATGGGGAACTAGATATCAGGTAATCCTTATGTTCATACGTTATTGTGAATGTCTGCTCAATTTGACTAGAGTACATAATCTGCTGATTGTATATAGACATTATTATAATGAGAAAGTGTACCATCTCAGGCTTCCTAATTACAGATGTTACAAAAACTCTTTCATCGGATCTTGTTATCTGTTTTGATTGTAACTTATATTTTTTAATATTAAAGTGAAGTCTTTAAATGATAACATTTTACATTTGTATTATAGTAAATATTACTTTATTTATTTTTTATAAATGAAGTGATAATATATCATTAAAAATTGAAAATTATATTTTAATATTTATTTTGTAATGAAAAATATCTGGCTGATTGTCATGTTTTATAATAATTAGAGATTAGCATTTCTTACAACTTTGTTTTTTTTACTTCAATCATGTAAGCACATGTGGATAGGTCTAGAGAACATTTGTATCACACACTTTCTCTTTGATTAACATATAGTTTAGCTTTTATTAAAAGAATCTGTTGCATAAACACTAGAAAAAGTCATGCTTGTAATATTCATTAAGACTTTTAGATATTTATGTCTTTGTGTGTAGCTGAACAGTTATTAAGTTTTTTTCTGTAACTCATCTTCACACTGTATAGAATAAGATTGAAATTGGATCAGTCATGTTTGAGCCTGTCTGAGTACTATGACTATCTAGAGTGTCTTGCACTTTTATGCACTTCATGTCTATAATTTTTTTTATACAACTTAGAATGGCAAACAAGTTGACAGTCCACCTGATGGAAAGTGGTAACTGTCGCCTATAGACATGAGCAGTACCATGGACATAACAGAGTATACTGTTTTGCCCATGATACCCCCATGCGTTGCCATTCCTGAGGACTCAGGTGTTATTCCTCTGTACCCAGTAAATTCATGCCATATCCCACCCTTCAAACCTAAACACATCCATGCAAACACAACTGCTTCACGGTTGAAACACAAATGGGACAGAACAGGTCATTTAATATTCTAATTAATATACATATTTACATAACTGTTTTCCTTATTTGTAGAACTATACAGCATCACTTACATGTGTAGTTTATTTCATTTAATACATATTTCGATAATATTTGAAATATTAGGAAAATTTCAGTTACAACAAAATACAATTAAGACAGACCAGTGAAATATAAATATGTCATTAGCACCCTGATAAGGTATTGCACAATTATACAGTGTTGTCCAAAGTTGGTATGTGAACAGGAAGCACTGACAAATTGACCGTGATAACACTTACTTGTTAACTGGTCCCTAAATTGTACTACAATATGACCATTGACATGGTTTAGTTGAATAGATTATTGGTAGGAGGATATTAGGAGAAATCCTTACAATTTCATGAAATTTCTTATATAATTTAGGTTGTTTAATCAATTCACAGAATACAGTGTGTCTTAAAGTTCTAAAATATTAAGCCTGCATACATACATGTATTTGGGGTTATAAAGGTATGAATATGAATGCATATGATCAATGGTTGTACATAACTTTTTAATAATTTAATAAACAGTAATATAATTCATTTAAAAAAGCAGAAGATTTTAAATTTATTTAATTTCCTATTGATATAATTTACGTTCACAACAGTTCCATTTGAAATTAGTTTCATTAGTTTGACTTTACAAAAATATTACATGATGTCTGTTTGTTTAAATATAGCTTAATTTTTTCATTAAGGCAGCCATGTTTTGTTGAATTAATTTCTAATTTAAAGACAAATAAAAACATTCCCTCAATTAATATTTTGTTCTCTAATAGCAACAAATCTTTTTTGTTTATGTTTTCATTAACATCTACTGAAGCAGACTATAACTTTGTGTTTATTATGTAACATAATTTGCTTTCTTGTGTCAAAGGTACCAATATACTGCCTGTCGCCACCTATAAACATGGTGAAGGAGGCGAGCGGGCGCGACTCGCCGGCCGAGTGGTCGGAGCCGGTGGAGGGCGGCGCCGAGCTCACGCTGCGGCTGCGCCTCTCCAGCACCTGCAAGGACGTCGACCTGGCCGTCTACTCGCGCCACACCATAGCGCAGTGCAAGAACAAGTTGCATGTCAGTATATCACACTATATGCTCATGTGATCCTAGTATGGAATAGGCCACTCCTTTCCTGTGTGTCGTAAGAGGTGACTAAAGCAATATAATGGTATAGGCAGCAGTGTCCCTCTTTAAAACATCTCTAAAAGCCTAACTGCAGTTGCCAGGGGGGAAAGGGATTGTTAGTAATGAAGACTGAGAATCCCATTGCTAGCAATATACCCAACCAGGCCGACCTCCTCGCGGTTCTCCCTGGAAACTATCGTGGTTAATTTCTGATGAATTCATCATGATGGGCTAACTGGCCTGTTTTCATTCTCATCTATCACCCTTCACTGGTGCTCCGCCAGCGTATCCCGTTAGTGCAGGCGGAGTTACCATACCATTTACACCCATCAGAAAAAAACTGCAGTTGCCAACCTGCATGCCAAGTGTGGCAACTACTAGTAAAACCTCTCAAGGAGTCTTGTGTTAAGCAGTGGACAGTTAACATCTGAAATGATGATGATACCACGTTTATCTGGCAGCTTATTATGAGCTTTTAAAATCTGACAATGTGATAGATTAAATTGGGGACTGTGAATTGGCTATAAAACAAACAGTCCAGCTTGTAAACCTAAAGCCCATTATTTACATTATAATGTTTTTAATTTTAAATGTATAACACTTCTATACTCCTATATTGTTTTCCTTGTGTTCACTAATCATTAAATATGCTTTGATAGTGGTATACAACTGCTTGATGGTATGTGGCCTTCACTAATAATAAATATTGATTCTATAATAATATACATTGGATATCTTCATATAACGAGATACATAGTGCAATAATACCATTACAGTGTTTTGTTTCCTTTACAATATCCAAAACCAGAGGGAGACTTTGTACAAAAGTCGATTGCTTGGGTACCTCTGTCCCATTCGCGTTTCAAACGTGAAGCAGTTGTGTTTGCATGACTGCGTTTCGGTTTGAAGGGTGGGATATGGCGTGAATTTACAGGGTACAGAGGAATAATACCTGAGTCCTCAGAAATGGCAACGCATGGGGAGTATCATGGGCGAAACAGTATACGCTGTTATGTCCATGGTACTGCTTATGTACTATAGGCGACGGTTACCACTTTCCATCAGGTGGGCCGTCAGCTTGTTTGCCATTCTAAGTTGTATAAAAAAAAAATATCTCATTATTGTTCTCTATGTATTATAACACTAATTGGTTGCCTTGTATTTGCGTAGTCCATGGAGATGGGGCGCTGGTGACTTGTGACACAGGTTCTTCAAAACCTGCAAGCACCAGTCTCTCACAAAATTGGTCTTACATATCTAATTGTACCTCAAGATGTCACCTTATACTTTTGTGAAGAGAAAATAAACCATTCATTAATTCATATAACTTTTTTAAACAAATATGCGATAAAATATTGCAGGCGCAAGAGAACATAGAGCCATGGCGGCAGCGCTGGTTCTACAGCGGGAAGCTGCTCGGCGACCGGCTGCTGGTGGAGGAGGCGAGGATCACGCCCGGCTACGTGGTGCAGGTGATCGTCAGCACCGACCCGCAGCCGCCCAGCTAGTCACCCTCGCACCACACGGCCGCGTACACCACACGACCACACACACTAAGTAGACGTCTTTGTGTACATTTGAGTCTGTTGCGACCAAGTCTAACATTGCAATAACCAATACAACCAATCAACCAATCATTTATTTAATCAATAAACTTGATACAGTTGGGCGTATATTAAACAAACAAAATTAATTGCCGAAAATATTGTCTTATTGGGATAAACTTATTATTTATTAACAATATGAGAATCTGTAATCATTGTGTGTGTAATGATTAGCTCAAAGTGTACAATTTCTGGTTTATGATGTATATATATTAAAAATTTATAGTGATTAAAGCGAATAACTTATTCATTGCTCACAAATTAAAATAATTAGGTCATGCTGTGTGATTACTGATCAATTGTCTACATGCAGTGATTGGTTCACGGCCTGCAATGATTGGTTCATAGACTGCAATGATTGGTTCATGGCCTGCAATGATTAGTTCATGGCCTGCAATGATAGGTTCATAGCCTGCAATGATTGATTCGTTGCCTGCAATAATATTGCTATTTGGTTAATTGATTTACAAGATTTTGTCGCTGCAGATACGGCCACGGCTTTTATTTATAACTGTCAACTAAGTGTTTTGTTTCAATGAAAATGAAGTACTCGGTACTTTCATTTAATTAAAGTTACTTTTGCTGGATGAAATGATGAGGCTGACATGTTCAAGTGTTAATATCAAACGTAGAAAGAATTGTCCAATTACGTTAACGCAATTCTATTGATAAACAAGGGATTCGTTAATTAACAATATTGGTAATGTTTAAAATGGACAAGTCATTAAATATTCTAATAGTTTAATTATTTAATTAATATGTTTACATAAGTAATACTCATCTCTCACTGAATAACAAAAGTGTAATTATTGTGAATGATGGTCAGTTGCAAGTTGTACAAATACATAACTCGTTTTAAATATATTTTATTGTTTAAAGTGATAATGAAATAATTTTAGTTTTGAAACGACTGTCGTAGAGAAATAGTATACAATGCATGAAAATATATAATAGAATATTACGTTTATGTCAAATCGAATATGGTGTAAGTATAAAAAGACTGTAAATAGTATATGACAGAGACGTCTACATATACAGCTCTGGAACAACATAATCCATGAAATGATATTATATTCTAAAAATATATAAATTTTAACTGTATAATGAACAAGCTGAACGTAAATGTAAGGGTTGTATAACAATTTTACAGTAAACACTAGTATTATAAATATGTATAAATAATTAATATTCACGGTTATCATAAAAATATAAAATGTATTTGTTTGTTTGTTTGAAATTGCTTTATGTCATTTCGTAAGTTAGGTTTTTTTTTTTTGATGGGTGAAAATGGTATGGTAACCCCGCCTGCGCTAACGGGATACGCCGGCGGAGCACCAGTGAAGGGTGACAGATGAGAATGAAAACAGGCTAGTTAGCCCATTATGATGAATTTATCAGGAATTAACCATGATAGTTTCCAGGGGGAACCGCGAGGTTGACCTGGTTGGGTATATTGCTAGCAATGGGATTCTCAGTCTCCATTACTAACAATCCCTTTCCCCCTCGTAAGTTAGGTAGGGAGCTTATAATAGTTGATTTGTATCATCCATTTTATATAATCAAATTGAATTGGTCTCGTCCTGTGGATCTTATATAAATGGGCTGCATACTACTGCAGTTAGCCGGGTTATATGAAATGAATGTTTCACGTCACGCCCTACTGGCTAGGCAGACTGGAACGAGTTTCAAAGGCCTCTAAATCTTAGTTCTTGTAAGTATATATTCACTTAAAATGGCTACTTTAAACTAATCACGATGAAATTGTCTGTGTAGATTTAAAGCTATTTCAAACAAACAACTATATAGATATGTTATTTTTATATATTAGTATAATTAATTATTACATTTGGCTAACATTGTTTCGGTTTAGTGTTGTATTTATGTTAAATTTTCAATCGATTTCAAATTTGATTGAAGTATGAGTCACTTCAATCAAATTTGAAATTGTGGGCTGTATCGGTCAGTTTGATTACTTTATTTAACTATGCGTTGTATTTGTTGGCAAATATCGATTTCTTTGTAGTGTAGTAACGAAAATATATATGTGAAGGAAGCCCCAATATATATATATATATATATATATATATATGTATAGTGTAAAATATATATGGAGCAATGACTGCGAGATAGTTAAATTATTCAACTACTAATAACGTTAACTGGCGTAGTACCACTTATCAGCGTCTGTGTACGTGTGTCAAGTAAATGGATGTTATAGTGTGAGAGCTAGCGGTCAGATTGAACAGTGTCTGTATTATAAAATGAACCAAATAATTATGAATCGGTTCCACTAGTGGACTTGTCATGTAATCGGAGTTAGGAAAAGAAAGTAAATTTGTTTGTTATGAATTTTCACATTATGCATAAAGGTATTTTTGATTGACTATTTTCCCACCATAAAAAAAAATACTAGTAAACTGCCTCGAAATTTATCGCCGTTATTCAAGGATAAGGATGAAGGAAGAATGATAATTTTGAAGCATAGAATTCATTTTCAATCAATCAAAATAATTTATTTCTACAGTGCATTCTTTGTCGCTTATTTATATCAATTTTTTTTTTTATATTTTTTTTATTATTTTCTACCATTTAGTTGAGTAAGCCCATTTAACCGAGAAGTATTGGCAAGAAATATTGACTGTTTTTCTTTTAAAATAAATACCATATTTTTTTTAATAAAAATTTAAAAAAATATGGTATTGTAAAAGTATATTTTATGTTTAACATATTGAATTGTACATAATATAATCACTAGAAGCTATTGATTGTCAATTTATTGGGTACAATTTTCAAATATTTTAATTCTCGCCATGAAGTGACCGCTAGCCCTTATGCTATAAGTTATTAACTGCGCCCATGACTTGATAAACGTCATAATGTCACCGAGCTGTTGTTTTGTACACGATTATGCAAAATGCGGTCATTGTCGGCCATTAAACGATTAAATTGGATGAAAATTTAATTTCGACATGACTTTTTGCATAATAAGTGAATTAACATTGGCTCTACCCCCTAGACAAATACATTTCTGTTAATGATATTGTAAAAATATTGAAATTGTATGGACTCCTTTGTGATACTTGATTGTAATAATTGTAAAGTATTGCAGCGGATGGGTGCCTTTTAATTTGTCGTAACCCGATACGGCACGATATCGTCACGATATAATAGAGGAGTAAAGAGTATACGATTGTATAGCGGTACTTTAGTTTTCATTCTCGATACTGAAAAATTGTTTTAATACGATTGCTTACCCCTTTCAGACCTGAACGATACGGGCGTGAGTTGTAACTTTAAAAAATTCAAAAACCGCGCACAATTCGTTTTTACACACGAAGCTGAAATAACATGATAGTGAGATTCTAAACCAGCCAATAAGAAATCGTTTTAGCGGTTAGGTGGTGCAGTAGTGTCGTGCGTGCCGGCAAGATGGCTTGGCTCCAAAACACGAAAATATATTTAATCTGAAAGAAAAAAAATCTTGGGTCTGAAAGGGATATATTTAATTTTCCTATCGCAGCGGCGACGAAATCGTGCCGTGACGTGCTACGATAAATTACAATAAGCAGCCATATAAAACTTCGTGTAGGGGGTCTGTGTATATTATATGTACAATATAAACAGTATGTATGTAGTACTAGAGCGATTAAGGTTGGTTTAACCTCAATATATATATATATATATATATATATATATATATATATATATATATATATATATCCAGCCCGTAGCTGATACAAAGAGATTATCCGGTGCGCGAGCGCCGCCACCGGACCGCTCCTGTGCGTACACAGCGACTGCCATGTATTGTGATGTTGTGAGAAATTTTCTTTATACTTACTAATTATTATATATTTATATTGTTTACTTTGAATATTTTAAACGATCGCTAGATATTAATTTTACATGGGAAATGTACGCGACGCAGGATACGTCACGTTATGCTTTAATGTTGGTAATACTGGTAGCGTTCGTCGCGCGGTGTTGCCAGTACCCCAACATCTTCGGCGTGCAATGTTGCCAGTGCGTGCATCGTTCGACGTCCAATTTAGCCAGTATTAGCGGCTTCAAAATACAATGCTGACGGTACCTATGATTGTTCAGTGTCCTTGTTGGCATTCTTTGTGTGTGGGGTCCGGCGTTCTTAGCTAATACTCGTTACGTTCGACGTCCAATGTTGACAGTACTTGCGACGCGTGACATGCAGTGTTGCGACACGGCAGCAAGAGGGGGGATGCGTGTCAACGAATTCTGTAGCTTGTACTAACTAGCGTTAGATTGCACACGAGTTGAAATGAGTAACATTATAGTGTTGTTAAGCTTAGGCGATATATTCGTATATATTATAACTTAAGTTTCGGTTAAAATTATGTTTATAGTGTTATCACCTCCAGGGGCATACTTAAACGGCCATCCCTGGAGCGAACCTGGTACAGTTACATTCGTTCTCAAAATTGTTACGAGTCTGCACAAATCGACAGCGCGCTCACTGTCAATTTGTCGTATTTTTTTTTTTTTTAATAAAATATCGATTTGTTTCAAAATTGGCAAGTTTTAGCGAACTACCCACATAACAAAGCAAAAAATACCAATATATAAGAAAAACAAGTTTTTTTTTTAATCTGGGTCATAAAGTCGTCTATATTTTTGGCCAGATAGTTCATTAAAACTTTTTGTTAATTTTGAGTTAAATCGATTTTTTATTTGGAGTGTATCTTTGATTTTTGAATTTTTTGAGCGTACGTATATATTAGAACTGCGTATGCGTACTAATTAGTAGTTGGCGTATGCTTGGTCGAGATCATTGTGCGATCCGGCTCACTAGTGATCATTTTGAGAAGCATGCAAGTGTTCCGGGCCGGAATTACGTCGTTGTAAATCGATAAGTTGTACTGTTAGGCTTTAAGAGTTTTTATTGGAATGTAGCCAGTGAGATGTGCGTGTCACACGAGATTGTCTGCCGTTTGTCTGTAGGTCACCGGTTTTGCAGTGTTCGTTCGTTTGTATCGGTCGCCTCGTTTACTTTAGTAGTCTCATCGTCGATGTACAATTCCAAGTGATCACAGGCTGATAGTACCGCCCATTTTTTAGTTATATTTTTGATTTATAATAAATATTATATGCTTATATACGCACATAAGTACTCCATTCTAAATATATATATATATATACTAACTAATATATATATAACTAAGTATCGCATCTTAATATCGAAGCAATAATCTATATATATATATATATATATATATATATATATATATATATATATATATATATATATATATATATATATATATATATATATATATATATAGATTATTACTTCGATATTAAGATGCGATACTTAGTTGAAATAGATATCGTTTCAATACCACCAGATTATAATGTTTCCCATGTCATAACAGTGCAAGGTTAACCAGCTCTAAATGGTTTAACTATCGGCTCGAGGTCAGAGGTCATTGTTTAACTATATATTCAATTTTCTTATTTCTTTCCAACTATCTTTTCATGGGATGAGCTGCATTGAGCACATTTTTTTTAATTTAAAGCGTTCAGAGTAATAATAAGTGCGTATACCATGACACTGACCAAAATCTGTTTTTTTTTTTAATATGTATCAATATTTTGTCTATTTTATAATAAATTTCCCAAAAAATAAATTTGTGATAAACGTTTTACGTACATCCATACAGTTGCCATATTTTTATGACAAAATAATAGAATTCCCAGTTGATTGTAATATATCTATTGTATCGAACACCTAATACGTTTATTTACAATACACTTAAACAACCATCTAATCCGTTAGATTTCAGAAAATGTGTCGCCTAGGCGATATTTTACCTTTGTTACCTTCATCAGCACATGTATTATACAGGGTTTAAGAGAATTCACTGCAATTCTTTCACGGTAGAGAGAAATGGAGTTATTGTTGAGTGAGAAGAGATACTGTATACAGATCTGTTTACAAGCTTAAATTATTGTCATTTCATTAAAATTGTTATCTGTTAAGAGATTTATAAGTCGATCTTTTTTAATAGATAGATAGATAATTTATTTACATTACTTACAGCACACAAATTACAATAAAAAAACATACACATAATACACAGTAAAAGAGACAAAAGAATAAAAATAAAAAAGCACAAATAAAAAAAAAACTAACAATCTCCTTTCTTACCCTTCCTTCATGCGTGTGCCATAGTAACACAAAATTCAGTCTATTGAACACGTTTATTTTATGTAGTTCTGTTAAGCAATATGACGAATAAAATAAATAAATAAATATACGGTCAAATCACACAGATTGAGCTAGCCCCAAAGTAAGTTCGAGACTTGTGTTATGGGATACTAACTCAACGGTACTATATTTATAATAGATACATATATAGATAAACATCCAAGACCCAGGCCAATCAGGAAAAGATCGTTTTTCCATCATGACCTGGCCGGGGATCGAACCCGGGGCCTCCACGTCGCAGGCAGGCGTGTTGACCGCTGCGCCACGGAGGACGACATTGGAGAGTTGCAGTTATTTCCCTTTAAAGTCTGTATAATTGAAAATAAAATAAACAGAAATATGTAATGAAATTGTATGTTACATCATGTACATACAATTCGGTATATGGTGTTTATTTATCAAAATGCATAGTGATGTTGTATGAATAATGCTTAATTCTACGTTTGTCGACGCAGGCGCGTTTGCCATCAATGATTTATTGCATATATTTTTTTTTTATTGTTATATATTTCCGTTTCTACCACCATGAAATATGTTTACCTTGACAGTGGCATGTAGATTAAATTGTAATAAGTGATAGTAATTGAAATATCGTATTAATGATTAGGTTAATTATATTTATTTATTTTTAGTTTTACGGGAAGAGGCTTGCACACAAGTTCCATAGATAGTTACTTTTTTTTTTCTAATTATTTTTATTAAATCAAAATTATGCAGAGTCACAAACGTTCGCGACAAGCGTTAGCGATTTACAAGTGAAGGGTTGTATCTAAATATGCATCTATAATATTAAAATATATACTGTCCATACCAGAGGGAGATTTTGTACAAAAGTCGTTTGCTTGGGTACCTCTGTCTCATTCGTGTTTCAACCGTGAAGCAGTTGTATTTGCATGGCTGTGTTTCGGTTTGAAGGGTGGGATATGGCGTGAATTTACTGGGTACAGAGGAATAACACCTGAGTCCTCAGGGATGGCAACGCATGGGGGGTATCATGGGCGAAACAGTATACTCTGTTATGT